TAAAAACTTTTAAGAAAGACCTTAAGACTCATTTGTTTAAACTAGCTTTTGAATCATAATTTATATATATTTTACAGCGCTTAGAGCCGACTTGTATAGGCGCTATATAAATCATATTATATTATTATTATTATTATTATATGTTTTCGCTTATCCATGACCATAAGTCTGGCGGAGTATCTTGACCTCAGAAAGGTATGTGCTCTATAATCACCTTCGTTTTCCAACAGGTACGGCATAGGGATGATCTATTACAAGCAGGAGAAATTCAATCTGGCTGAAGTTCATTTTAGGAAGGCTCTTTCAATCAACCCATCTAGTTCTGTACTGTATTGCCATATTGGTGTGGTAAGTTGAGCATTTTTATTTGACTGTGAAAAAGTTGGTGACATATGCATGCCTTTCCGCGACTGTGATGTTTTCTAGAATTTTGATTGTGACATTTTTTTCTCGTGCAGTGTGATTGGTCTGGCAGTGCTTTGACCTTGCCATGTTCCGGGCATTTGATTGGATGGATTGATTGCAATGTGGTTGGGCTGGCATATGCCTTGCCATGTTGTGACTGTGAACGTGCTGTGAGCGTGAAGACTGTTCCAAAATACATGTAGACCATTGAAAGACAACTTTCTCCAAATGTGATATTGGGTTGTGGTAGAATGAATGAATGAAGTTTCATTTTGTCTTAGGTCCTCCATGCTATGAAGAAGTCTGAAGCTGCCCTAGCAACCATCAACAAGGCCATGACTATTGATCCCAAGAATCCACTCTGTAAATTCCATAGGGCATCAATCTTGTTTTCCACTGAAAAATACCAGGTAAGGGCAGGCTTAGCAGTTAGTCTAAACACCATTATAAACCTATAAGATAGATATAAGTAGACCTTTGCATGGCCTTAAATCAAATGTGTCAGGGATTTCACGAAATGGTGTCCAAAATCATGTTTTTCCCCCCTTGGAGTTAATTTAAAATTGAAAACAAAGACTGAGGTAAATTTAATTTGCCATTCAGACATCACTAAGTTTGCAAGTCTCTTAAAACTGTTATCATTTACAATTCAAGGCCTGTTACATGATGTGTTTTCCCTACTCAACTTATCTTGCATTAAATAAAATTGCTAGTGTCTTAAAACTGTTATCATTTATAATTCACGCTCTGTTATATGTTGCATTTTTTTCCTGCAACTTATCTTGCAGTGTCTTTAACAATGAGACAAATTAAAGTCAATGTCTAAGACCCTTAAGTTTGTGCAACTTGCCAATGGCATTGCAAGAATATAGTTGCACTGTGTAACAAGGTCAAGTCTATTTATCATGAGACAACAATATATCTAATAATCATCTTGATACAATGCGTCATTCCCAAGAAAATAATATTCTTTGTTTGAGAGTTGTATCCATATTTACGTCTTCTCATGTCCAACCATAGAACAAAAAAAATTATTATCCAAGGAATGGCATGCAAATTCTGCAGCTGATAATAAACACTCCTGTTTTGTTCTTGCAGAAAGCATTACAGGAACTAGAAGAATTAAAAACAGTTGTACCAAGAGAAGCCCTGGTGTATTTCCTAATGGGAAAGGTAAATTTCATACCATGTAACTAATCACGACAGAAGGAACATGAAACCAATAAGTGTGAAAATACAGTCACCAGAGTCACTTTAAACTTAAATAAACTCCACATGCAATACCACTACATTCTATATTTACAACATACAACACTTAACTCATGTTGATTTTTATGGAAGATATTAGCTATCTGTAGCTACTCTGAGAATTCCCACTTGTTTACCCAAAATTTCATTTAGGGATCCAAAAAAGCAAAAAAATACTGAGGATGTGAATGGCTAAAAGAATGTCTTTGCAAAAATGTATATAGTTTTAAAAAGCTCATATCGTTTTCCCCCCTGATAAATACTGTCACACTAGCATGATATAGGTCAATAATTGTTCACATATTTTCCATATTGTCCATCAGGTATATAAAAAGCTTGGCCATACTCATCTGGCACAGATGAATTTCTCTTGGGCTATTGACCTGGACCCCAAGGGTGCCAATAATCAAATTAAAGATGCCATTGACAAGCGCTACCTTCCAGATGACGATGACAGCACCATGGGATTAGGATGTAACGAATCATCAATGGACCAATCAGCTGATGCTGCAGATGAAGAACCAATGGGACTGGAGCTTGACTCTGCAAGTAGCTCCAGTATGGTATTATTCTAGAATCTTCAATCAATATAGGAATAAGAATTAATGATTTATAAACTTGTGTACAGTAAAAAATATATTGCCGAGGAATGATTTGCAACCAAAGCTTGATGACTCTTATGAATTTGTACAGTAAGTGGTGTTGATAAGTTGACTGTAGGGGGTTAGTAAATGCCTTTTTTCAGAGACTGTTCAAAGCAGGATTTATAGTAAACTTTGTGATTTAACCGTTGATTGTGAAGGTTTTTGATAATGTCCCCAATTCAACACAATCCTATACTATTGAATACTAGTGTCCTTTGGGTTTTAGATATTAGGTAAAATTTCTTATCTATAGACTTCTAATAGACCTTGCACTAATACACTAATAGACCTTTTTACTTATATGGCAGCCATTTTGAATTATGGGATGCTGAGGGGGCAAAATTTATGAAGCATAGAGTGTCGTTGTGGTTATGTTTTCAAATAATTTAAAGTCTTGGTGTTTTGCATATTGTTCTAAAAAAATGTTACCAGCAAATTCAATTGCTTTTTAGATGTGCTTTGAAAAGCACAAAGGTATATTAAAAAAACACCCTGACAGTATTTGAATTTTCCAAGAATTACCCCTCTGCATCCCATACAAAAATAATTCAAGATATCCACTTTATCGGTAAAAAGGTCTATTCTTCATGGGTCAAAACAAAGAAAAATCTTTTCTCTTGAGATCTGTAAACTTTGCTCATGTAAATGATTTTATTTTGCTGCCCAGCTTGATGTTATGTGCAAGGGGTCTATTCTAGCTTGCCTCTGGTGGCTTCAAGTGTTCCAAGCTCTCACCCATGTAAAATCTAATAATAAAATGAACTGTTGAAATCATCTTCAATTTTTTTTACAAAGCACAAATTATATTCATGATATTATACCTCATGATGACAATATCCATTGTTTGTTCTTCTGCACACTGTTCTGCATAAAACATGATTATAATCCCTCATCAGGCAGTTCATAGAGGTTGTATCATGAAAAGCTTTGTAATACAGTTGGATATTTTTTTGATCACCGTGCAATGTTAACTCCCATGAAAACAAAAACCTGCAACACTTGAATCAGAGGCCGTGTGGGAAAAATCTGTTTTTTAAGTCAACAGGGCTGATGAAGGAGAAAGGTCCATAGAGTGCAAAAGATATAACCATGAAACTTTAGTAATACTAAATAGCACAATTTCATGCAAATTCCATTGTTTTCTATTGTTTAATTAGCACTATTTTGTACTATTTAGTAATTATTGTTTCACGGATTGTTTGCACTCTACTCGGACTAGTAGATTAGTCAAAATACCAATCCTTGTCAAATGAGTAAAACTACCCAGCCGTATTTTAAGACTTTCTGTTACAAATTGTTTATTATGACCAATAAAAATGTTACGCCTTATTTTAATTTTTCAAAAAACTTGTTTTATTTGAATGTCTGTTGTGTGTTCACTTATGATCAATCTAGCCCTGTGAGTTATAATCTCATGCTGACAAAAGAAAACCGTATTAGCTTTCAAAAAGTACAAAGAACGTTTGTGCCTTATTATGGTTAGAAGTATTTAACTGTAAATGGCAAATGATGAGCCTTTTTCTGTGGAGTATTTTTGTTGCCCTTTATAATGTAAAACCATTGCTTGTTTGAGGGAGGTTTGGGTATTTGGTGAAATCTTTAAATGACAAAGAAAAATCTTAAGACCCACATGAAGTCCCCCAAAAAATAGTTATCCCCCCAGGCAATCTCTTGTAGCTTTGCATCCCCCACTCCCCAATTCTCTGATTAAAATATCACCACCCCCTATTTAACTGGTAAATTGTTTTTTCACATTCCCCCTTTAAAATTTCACCTGCTCCCCCCCACCACCATCATCGAAATAGTTAGGATGAAATAGGAGATAGTTAACTCTAGACAAAACATAGGAATTAAGTGAGGCATGATAAGGGCACCGGCGTTGACTACCCAAATATATAAATGAATAGATATGAAAATGCAAACATGTCAAATCATTATACGAAGGAAAAGCATGTACAGCAAAATATTGTTTCAGTTTTTGTAAGTGTGTTCACAGGTAGCCCAAGCTTGGTTTCTGTGGTGTCCTGTTATATGGAAATGTATAGGGGTTCATCAAAAATTTCAATAAAATCATCTAAACGTGAAATAAAGCCTCGAAATTTTACCCGATCATTGAGAAATAACACTTCTTTGGCTCTGCGTGGTTATTTTTTGAATTTAGCCTGTTTTAAGATTTTTTCCCCACCAGTAAGAAATATTACATAAGAAAAATATATCTTATTACTTTCTTTCTACTTTCTTACCTATTTTAACTAATTAAACTTAGGCAAACAAAAGTTAGTAGTCTAATTAGAGTGCAAACAATATAACCGTGAAACTTTAGTAATACTAAATAGCACAATTTCATGCAAATTCCATTGTTTTCTATTGTTTAATATAAGCACTATTTTGCACTATTTAGTAATTAGTGTTTCACGGATTAATATCATTGTTTGCACTCTAGTTAGCTAGCCATCTATTTCACGGGTATATTATTATTGCACTCTATTGACATATTGGGTTGTACCCTAACAATTTGCTGGTACCATTTACATCACTGGGTAGACAATGCACTCTCCCAGATGCCATATGTTAGATACCTCTTGTAAGTTAATCATGTCTTATCCCTCTTGTAAATAAAGTCATTATCATCAACATGGCACTAAATTATATCCTTCCCATGTACACACAACATTAAGATACATCAAATAATATTCATAAACACTTGAATTTATACATTTTTATTATGACCTAAACAAACTCTAATATTGTTTTTGACTACACAAATATTACAGCAGAACCTCTGTATCAATCCTGGAAAATAAGACTGCAAAAATCCTCTGGGGTAATGCATGAGGGACAACTTAAGCTGCTAAATAGAGGTTCTGCTGCATTGTTTTTTTTTTGGGGAAATATATTTAGAGCTCATTATTAAGATTCTAAGAAGTTGTTTTATTATTTGGTAAGATTTTCAAAAATAATATTAGAGTGGTTTTCAAAAACCCGTGAAATACACTTTAGCGTATTACACTTTAGTACACTTTATTGTCTGCATTTTCTTTTGATTTTCTTTTGTGTTTTCAGTGTATTACAATTTATTACACCTTAGTTATTACACCTTGTTTCACAGGTTTTTGAAAACCACTCTATAAGCAATATTGGAATTCTCATTACTAAATTTATAAATTTTTCAGAGCCAAATAGCTGACTTAACATTATTATAGATAACATTTGTGTACAATTCACTGTACATCTGCTTTAAATTCAATAATTATTTTAATACTTGGATAAAAATCTAGTATTTAGCTTTAGGTATATATTTTTCGTTTTGATAGTGTTGGAATTCCTGTGGTAATGGGAGGCTTACTACCATTTGTGAGCTACCATGAAGTGTGACGCACTACAGACTGTACTACAGAGGGGCTGTAAAACTTTGAAGATTCTTTGAGAAAAGAAAAAGTTTGTGGCGCCGCTTCGAAAGTATGTTGCTTGACAGTTTTGACAAGCTAACAAAGTTTCAAACGTTTCTTAAAAAACTGGCACGTCACGCCTCACGGTAGCTCGCAAAGGGTAGTATTGGTCTATACAATGTTAGAGTGATTTTCCTTTGCCCATGAAAGAATAGCCAACTTAATACTTATTAGTAGACAAAAATTCCATTGCTTTCTTTCATTATACTTGACTGTTAGTCATTAAATAATAATTCATTGGCGAAGTAAAAACACTCTAATATTATACTGCTGTCGACAGAAATAATTGCCATTTCTAGCTGGTATGTTGACAAACAATGTTGTACATAACAAGGTGAGTAAGTCCACTATTGACTTGCTTTACCAAGCACTCCAACTTGTCAATCAAATTCCTTCTTAAACCACAAGAACCCAAGACACTCAAGTGGTGGTTGTGTAGGACTAGGCTGACAGTTGTGAAAAGAGAATATGTCACTTCAATGTATGGTCTGCAAGTACAATGTCAAAAATAGTAAAGATGCAAAACCAGGAAGGTATCCTATAAAATTATTACGGCTCATGTGGCATATACGCAACATGAAATAGGGCATCATGGACTGATTGGGAAGAAAAAAAGCTCTCGGCCTGAGTGTACAAGATGGTATGTTTATAAATTTAATAACTATTCTTTACAACTCTTCTTTTTTCTTATGCACAGGTTCTTGTAGTGAAGGTTCTTCTGGTATTTCTGCTTGAGTGGGCTCTTCTGGTTGTCCATGTTCCTCTGGTTGCACTGTTTCCTCTGGTTCTGCAGGCTCTTCTGGTTGAACTGGTTCCTCTGATTCTGCAGGCTCCTCTGGTTGTCCAGGTTCTTCTGGTTGTCCTGGTTCTTCTGGTTGTACAGGTTCTTCTGGTTGTACAGGTTCTTCTGGTTGTACAGGTTCTTCTGGTTGTACAGGTTCTTCAGGCTGTGCAGGTTTTTCCTCTACTTTATCTTCTGGTGTGACTTGATCTGCAGGCTCTTCTGGTTGAACTGGTTCCTCTGATTCTGCAGGCTCCTCTGGTTGTCCAGGTTCTTCTGGTTGTACAGGTTCTTCTGGTTGTACAGGTTCTTCTGGTTGTACAGGTTCTTCTGGTTGTACAGGTTCTTCTGGTTGTACAGGTTCTTCAGGCTGTGCAGGTTTTTCCTCTACTTTATCTTCTGGTGTGACTTGATCTTTAGGCACATAAGGGAGGGGTGGATCTTCCATGAATAAAATAAAGTCTTCTGAAACCCTGCCACCATCATATTCAACCACATAGGTGCCATAATAGTAGCTCTTGAGGGTGGGGTAGCCATTCACATCCTCATCATTACAAAGTCCTGTAAAGAAAACCAAAAGATAAATTGCCATTTTGCCACAATTATTTTTTGGCATATGTTTTGTGGTAATAGGCAAAGTACTAAGTGTAGTGCATGTGTTACGTTTCTCATTTTATAGACATTGAAATCTCCTCCTAGACTATATTGCTCTTTCAAAGATTCCTTTCCATCTCATATAAGAATATATTCTTCTATAGTCTCTCTTCTCACTGTCGGTCTCGCTCTTTTAAGTTCCACTCCCAACTAATAAACCAAACACAGGCTACAAAACCAAATGGGATACTGACACCAAACTGTGTTCTGAAATTATCTTTCTTGCTGTCTTAAAAGTGAATTCAAAGTAAAATTACAGAAATTTCTAATATCTTGAGTATATGACTAGATAGCTTAATACATCACAAAAAGCTACTATTACATATCTACCTCCGTGTTTAGTACAGTCAACACTAGCAAACACCTTCTGTGGTTGAGTTTTAAACACCTCTGCAGCTTTTTCAAACTCTGGCTTGGCTTGCTTACAATGACCACACCCTGTCAAAATAATAAAGATCAAGAAATCATCAGAATGAAATACTTTTTTACACTAGAGATGATCCCGTAAAATAGCAACTTACAAGGTGCATAGAACATGACCAGCACATGCTCAGTGTCCTTTAGGAACTGTTTGAATGTTTCTTTTGTCAGGGACTTGATAAGATTAGGCTTCTCCAATGCAGTTTTGTCATCACTTCCTGCATTACTGCAACAACAAGAATGCAACCACTTTGTTGTCAAATAATTAGAAAAGGATAACTCCTAACTATGAATCACCAAAACTGAATTGCAGATATCATGGATGCAAGCAAATGAGATGCAAATGAGACAACAAGCATTGTATCGGCCTCAATTGTAGGATTCTTAAAACAAGAGAATTTCTCATTGTTGGGCTCAACTGTAATAACATCTTTTGCTGCTTGATGGAAGGGAGAATACGGATACAATCAAATCTCAATCATTTGCCACTCATATTAATTGTACTTATGGCTGTGTACGATTTAGTCACCTTGATTGTATGTTTTAATAGTGGACATGCATATTCTTTTCAGTTCACCTTTTTGGCGCTAGCCGTCATGGGGTATTATAAATTGTTTTAGAGTCACCAAAAAGTTCAGACATTGTTCTTGAATTTCCGTACAAATGTACTGACTCTAAATGAACTATTTGCTTGGTTAATGCTTAGTTAGTTCTCTAAATGCAAGTAAATGATCATTTTTCTAGCTTGATTGAAGCTATTCTTACTGCTGTTAAGAGAGATAACTAACGAAATCTACCTAAATTTTCTCTTTAAAGTCAGTGAATTTGTGTGGGAATCCGAGAACAATGTCTGAACTTTTTGGTGACTGTAACACAATCCAAGCTAGCACCAAAAAGGTTAATTTGGCTTCATATTTTGATTTTGGATTCCTGTTTGTTTTCAGCAACTTATCTCTGTTCACAGTTATCATCATTTCTTTACATTAAAGTAGCCCAGAAGCAACTTACTCTCTCATGAAGTGCACCACATCCAACATGCTTCTGTCCCCTTCATATTCCTTGAATTCCTTGCCTTTTCTAGAGTTACAATCCAAATTTATATGATTTCTGTCAGTCATAATTTGACTTTCTAATTGTATACTAAACAAACCTAGCATGCAGCTTGTCAGAATATATGACTCATTCAAAATATTTCCGAAAAAATGCAGAGCTAAAATACTTTCCGTCATGAAGGCATCCCCAGAAACACAGGCAGAAAATGAGCCAAATACTCTGACTAGAGAGTAAAGATGAGAATATGTGTGTCCAAGGGTCTTTCGCCCGGAATAACCTCGTTCCCCAGCACTATAACTTATCTATATTTCTATATCTTCATGACTAGAGAGAAGATAACACTTTGGAACATACTAGCTACTATCTTAATGATGGTGTATTATAATTTCTAATTAAATGACTGTATACTTACTTGAAAAGTTTGACTGCAAATTGGAATAGTACATGAAAGGAACAAGAGAAAAAATATTAATCACCATGATGATGATGATAATGATGATAAAAGTTTTTATGATGCATTTTGCTACACCTGTCAATGGATTTGCCATTTTTTACAAAATATGATAAAACACAAGCAATGATAAAATTATCAGTCTTATTGTCTGTCTATTGCAACCTACTGTTAGACTATCAATAAGGTGGTGCTGCTAAAGATCATGTCAGAATAGCCATGATATAATACTACGCACCTGTAGGATATCCACTGATCTTCACTTGTCCAGCAACCTTCCTGTTCTTAGTGCAGTCCACAGCAGCTAATTTAACATCAGGCTGCAAAAACAATCATATCAACCAACATGAGATAAATAGCTGGAGTATACTGTGAAATCCAATAATTATAGAACTGATTCCACAGTAGTCCTGATTGGTTTAAATTTAGGGATTTATAGCCTACCCAAACATAAGGTAGCAAAGACTATAGGGGGCTAATGGCATGCACCGAGATACTTAAATGGTTTCACTGAAGCTCCCCATTGTAAATCCCTATGTTGATCATGAATAGATTGGACGGTCCCATTTCATAAAGACGTTTGAAAATAACATCTCAGACTAGTTAATTCATATGCAGATTACAAATATGTGGTTATCAGTAATGAGGTGCAGGCACCATGGGTGTTGTCACTGGTACTACACCCTTGTCACTAAGATCTCAATAACATCTCAGACTAAATAATTTATATGCAGATTAAAAATATGTGGTATCAGTAATGAGGCGCAGATACCATGGGTGTGGTCACTGCTACTGTACCTTTGTCACTAAGATCTTAATAACATCTCAGACTAGTTTATTTTTATGCAGATTACAAATATGTGGTTGTCAGTATTGAGACGCAGACACTATGGGTGTGGTCACTGGTACTACACCCTTCTCATTCTTATGATTGAGCTTAAAGAGAAGTTTTCACGTCATACATAAATAGTATGTATAGGAGCATGGTTGCACTCACATTTTCATTATCCATGACTTTAGCAGCAGCATAGTAGTCCTTCTTCATTGCATTACAATGTCCACACCCTGGAGAGAAAAAAGTTACTATAAGAGCCACAGGAAAAACCCAATGATTTTGAATCAGGAAAATTTGCTCCACATAATTATACATGCACACTTTGCATAATGTTCTAAGGCTAAGGTCAAGCGTCAAACTTCACCTGAGCCAAACCTAAATGAAACAATGAATAACAAGGCGTTTTTTAATGTCATTAGGTTTGGCTCATGTCAAGTTCGACATTTGAAAAGAGCCTAAGAAGTCTTGTAGCATGCTGTCCCCATGCAAACTGTTCAATTTTTAGCTTGTAAGAGACACTATTTCTGAAAACACACTATCCCTCCCTATGTAACCTCATATGGCGGTCATAGAGGTCATTGTAATAGAAATAAATATTCAGGTAGTTTGAATAAAAGATGTCCTACTTACATGGGGCATAAAACATTACAAGCACATCAGAGTTATTAGCAATATAGTCATTGAATGTTTCGTCTTCCAAGAACACCACTTTCGAATCTTCTTTGCTCCAGTCTGCTGGTGGCGGCCGCGGTTTGGGCTTCTTAGGACTAAATAAAACATGAGTAACAAAATTACTACTAACAAGTAATAACCTATATTGAACCCTCGTTGAAATATAATAATCAGTCCATTACTAGATTAAGTGAGTGAATTACAAACACTGGCAAGTGCCTGGGGGTACTCTTGCCCGTTTAGGGTAGGGATGTGCCGCTGAGCCCACTGAACCCTGACCCTGTCACTGAAAACCATACCTTGTTTGGTGGCATGTACCCGTATAGCGAATATAGGGGAGTACCCCCCTCCCAGGGGGGGGGGGGGGCAGTGCCTAGAGTAAACACAGTTACTGAAGGATTTTAAGTAATCTGGCTGTCGACTGATAGTGATTGACATCAAAAGAGAGTACTGTTGATGATCACTTGGCCATAAATGGTCAATACCTGATTGGCAAATATTTATTGGCCTTATAGCTGTCTATACCTGTACGTTTATTGTGCATGAACAACATTTTTGGTTATCAACAAGCCCTTTGAATTGACTTTAGAAAGTGGGTGGTTATTTTTTGCAAACTAAGACAATTGCTTAACACCAGGTTTAGAGAAAACAAGCAGCTACATTATTCACGATGTCATGTTTCCTAATTGACTTACTCTTTCATGAACTCTCTAAAGCCTTCTGCAGATCTTTTGCCAGTGTATTTGAATTGGAATTCTCCATTTCTATGAMTAAATAAGAGCAATACATGGTCTTAAGACATTAATGTTCCTTAACCAACACAATACTGGTGGGGGCTTTGAAAAGTATATGACAGCATTGATTTGATACTAAAATATGCAAACGTTTTACTTCCTCTTCCAGATTTGCACACATTAACAGCTTTTTTGCATACATACTTGAAATATTGTACTGTTTTGTGAAGAGGTGGTTGATTTTTCCAACATTAAAGGAAAAGAGAAAAATAGGTTAAAATGTGTCAAAATCTTCATTTCCCTTTGCTAGGGATGCAACAGACTCCTGTCAAAACATTACAGTAAAATATATTGAATGTACAACTCTTATTCTTTCATTGAATTTATTTCTCTGGGGAATTAGGATAGGATGTCTACTATATCATAAGAGGGATGAATTCTGTATAATGTAAAATGTAATTCTGTTCATTGTAAGTGTCGTAATCTGATATCATTACGCAGTATTACGTCACACCCAATATATAATTACATACGCGATTGTAAATGATTCATTACACACAATAGTTCAATAAAGAAGCAATCAATGGGGCACTCTTGTTCAGTGATCTAACATTGGTGACGAGGATCGGTCAGCACTACTTAAGGACGGTGCCTACTAATTGAGAATCAATTATTTTTTTAAATGACTATGTGAATTATTTTAACCTGTCAAAGGGTTGTCAAATTCTGGTTAGAAAAGTAGGGGTCACCATGCATTTAAAAGAAATAATAAGGCTTAAAAATTGTTAAAAAGTGATGACGTCATGATTTTACTAACACCAGGGAAAAAAATTATTTTCAAAAGATTTTGAGAAATTTCTAATTTTAATCGTCCTAAATGACTGACACTTTGTTTCTTTACTAAGATATACCCAATTCTACCATGACTTTAATAGTTGGCTATAACATATATAATTTTTTAGCTTCGTGCTCCCTATTTTCGATCAGTAGATATATAAATATTGTGTCCATATTCTTTTCAAAACCAATTATTTTTCATAATTTTCAATTCACAAGGCTAATTTAGCATTTACTCTATCATTTAAACAAAGAAAAAATAGGGGTATCCAGGCGTTTTTAAGAGATACGAAATTTTAAAGAACATTATTAGGGATAAATCTTATACCGAATGCGTGACAAGCGTTACACAGCATACAAAACGGCGTGACAAACTCTGTTTTTGGCGCGTTTGCACGTCAAGCTAAACATGCTGCTTCCTGCTATGCAAGCAAAAAACACAGAGAAAAACTCGATATTTATAAGGTTTATAGTTCCAGGAAGACTATTGGGTTTGAAGTGAAGTTACTATTGACTTTTTACTTAACAGCAGAAAGGAATTTCTGAAATATTTGGTACGTAATAAGATGATTTTTTAGATTGAGAACTCCAAAGTAAAAGACTTTCATGATGAAAGTATTTAGCGACCAAAAAAAGATTTTCAAAACCATAATTACACACCTAGATATTAATAAATGGTCAATTTTCAATTTCATATGTATTTCTTGTTTGTTTTTATTCAAGTTTTATAGGATTAAATCTAAACAAACGGTAAAAAGCTTTATTATTGAAAGGATTTGGTTTTTTAGAACTATGAGTCTGCCATTTTTTCACTGAAACTTGCCCAAAAAAACTTATGATTCTTTGTCAATAATACTTAAACCTTAGCAAATTATCTTTTTAACAAGCCTGGGTTACTTAAGATCGTTTTCTGCTTTAACTTTTATTGAAAATAAACGTTTTGTTTCGTGCAATTCGAGTAATAAATTTTAAAATTCCTCGAATGTAGATGCGCAGTACGTGTGCGCGTGGACAATAGTAGGCACCGTCCTTAATCACATGCAGTTGTCACAAACAAATTTAAATATTGCTACCTATTGTCAAGATGCAATCTAAACAGTTTTGGACAAATTCGTCTCAAAGAAATAATTTATAGATAAATAATGTATGAATAAGAAGTGACTCATTCCAATAACTTACATGTTGGGTATCCCTTGATTTCATGCTTACTGCATAATGTTTTAGCTTCTGTACAATCTACAGCAGCAATTGCACCTTCAATCTAATCAGAACAACACTTCCTTTTACAATTATTTCATCATGCGTTGAAGCAATATATTATCACACTTTGATTGCAACTGACAGCTGACTGATAAAAGATGGAAATCTATTAATAGCCCTTTTTTGAGTTACGCAATCAAGGTCACTTCACTTAGCATTCTGATCTAGAACAAACAATGATCAAACAACACTATAAGGTATAGGGAACAAAAAATGTTTGTAACCCTAGCTATACGACAATGCACCATGTTTGCTATCTCAGAAAAGGTCTGTGATAAGATGATGAAGCAATGAAAAACATGTTATACACACCTTTTTGTCAGTGTTGATCTCCTTGGCAACTTCCCCATAAGCAGGCTTCAATTTCTGGCAGTGTGGGCACCCTGTGGTTTGATAATAAAATAATCATTTCTGAAAATCTACTTCAAATTTACTAAGAACTTAATGTATTTGTGTTATTTGACTGTATACATGTTTGTCCATCTACTCTACACCTCTTCAACTCTCAATTTGTGTTTTTTCTCATACTATGTGCGCATGTCTATATTCTGTCTATTCCTATGTCTGGATGGCTGGTAAGCTTGCTGGCAGACTGACTGTACTTACAAGGTGCATAGAACATCACTAATGCTGATGAATGTTTCTTTACAAATTCATCAAATGACTCATCATCCAGATGTACGACATCTTTGTTTTCTGCAGCCCATGTTCCTTCTTTAGGTTTCTTATCTTCCTTTGGCACTTTAGGCTTATCTTCAGGACTACAAAAACAAAAGAATTCAGGAATTCAGATAGTTTACTCAGGAACCATCTCTTTGATTCTATAAAAATCCTAACAATCCGGGGTAAACGGAACCCCTAAATCCCTAACTTTTTGCCAGGTTACAAATCCATCGAGAAACATGTAAATGCAGCCTTAATGAGTAATAGATCTTTCCTTAAAATTTACCAAAATTGAACTTACTTGTCCATAAAATCAACCAGCTCATCTTTTGTTCTTGCTCTTCCATAATCACTAGCAAATTTTCCTCCGCTATAAAGAACAATAAACACATTACAAAACTAAATGATGGATGAAAATATAACAAGACAAAGATTGATTTGTGAATAGAAGTAAAAAAATGAATGCCTGAATATGATAGCTTAATAAATGAACATGGAAGAAATGTGAAAAAAATACACGTAAATAAATGAGTAAACAATTAGATGATCAAAAAATGGATGGATATGCATTTCTGGGTGGATGGGTATTATGAGTGGGTAGATGGATGGGTGGTTAGGTGGATAATTACACATGGATGGGATGGAAGGATTGGTGCCGATGGATAGATAGAAGAAGGGGATGGGTGTTTGAATAGAATGGATGGGTAGGTGTACAGATTGATGGAATGAAGAATGGAATGGACAGATAATAAATAAGATGGATGGAGTGGTGGGTGAATGGATGGATGGATGAAAAAATGGATGGATGGGATGAATTGGTGGGTGGATGGAAGAAAAGATGGATGGATGGAATAAAAAAAAGAATGGATGGATGAGATGAATTGGTGGGTGGGTGGGTGGATGGATTAAAAGATGGATGAATGGAATGAAGAATAGAATGGATGGATGAGATAAATTGGTGGGTGGGTGGATAGGTGGATGGGTGGGTGGGTGGATGGATGAAAAAATGGATGAATGCAATAAAGAAAAGACAGGATGGATGAGATGAATTGGTGGGTGGGTGAATGGATGGGTGGGTGGAAGGATGAAAAGATGGAAGAATGGAATGAAGAATAGAATGGATGGATGGGATTGAATGGTGGGTGGGTGGATTGGTGGAAGGGTGGATAGATGAAAAGATGAATGGATGGAATGAAGATTGCAATGGATGGATTGATGAGGTGAATGRATTTGTGGCTGACAAATGCACATATTTATGTACAAACAATTGAAGTGAATAAATTATGAAAAAAGGAATTAGTTTGTGCATTAATCTACCCTCCATTTACCTGAAGTATTTAATAGTAGGGAAGCCACTGATCTCAAATTTCTTTGCAACTTTTCTGTGCTTGGTGCAATCGACGGCAGCTAGAACACCTTTCATCTGATAAGCAAACAACAGTGTCAGTCTTACATTATACACTGAATTATATTATGATAAGATAGTACACCTTCTTAGCATCAATATCATCTCTCAACATTATATTATACTGCCAATGAGCTAGTCTGTTCATTATCAATCAATACTAGACACCTTTTTGGATTGCATTTCCTCAGCTGCTTCTGTATAGGCAGGCTTCATACTCTTACAATGACCACACCCTGTCAACAAAAAATAAACTATTTAACAGCAGCTATTTAACTATTTAATAAACGTTTTTCAAATGAATGTCTTTACCAAATTTATGAACTACCTTTTCTAGATTGGGTTGCCAAATAGTTAACATCTAAATATTATGACAAAAGAACTTTCCCAAATTAGCTTCAGTGACAATAAAACTTAATATGTTTGTCCAACCACTGGAGCCATTGTTTTGTGGTCACTCAAGCAAACTCGACAAAGCAGGCCTATATTTTTTGGGGTAGGTTATGCATTTGTTCTGATATATTCATCTTAATTAAATGATTTTGAAAACAAAACTATTTGACTGAAGCTGCAAAATGTGTTATTACTGCTTTTAGTTACTACACGCTGGTAAGACAAACTCTTGCACCAAGCTCATGGGCAATAAAGCCATCTTCAATTGAATTTAAAGTTTTAGAGTAAATCGAAAATTACTTGGGAACTGAAGCAATTAAATTACATGAGAACATTTATTTGGTTAATACTTGTCCAAAGCTCATTAGCTTGTTGCATTGCGACTTTTGTCTAATTCAGTAGGTAGTGATTGGTCACTACTAATTAAGAGCGAATTCTTTTCGTATTTAAGCAGTGAGCACCAAAAACTATTTTCTTGTTTCGAAGTGGAGATGACCRATGAAAGTGGAATCAAAGTGTTAACCCAAAACAAAAATTTGAATCGAAAATAAGGTTTAGGCCTTCATTTGCTTATTTCCTATATATTTTCTATAAAAAAGGCTGACAAAKCTACATTCTAACACAAATGCAACAAAACATCTTTGTATAATTGAAAATACCGCTTCAAACAGGCATTTTATCATAGTACATCAGTTTCTAACTGTTTAAAAAAGGTTTTGATTGGGATCAAAAACTCTTACAAAAGTCTAGTTTTTGGCACTTTTTGCCATTAATGCTCATTATTGAAAAACATTTCTTCTTAATGTTTAGTTATGATATTTATAGTAATTTAAGCATGTCTAGATATGAGACCAGTTATGATATTTATAGTACTTACAGGGAGCATAGAACATGACCAAGACTGAATCATGTTCTTTGATGAATTCATCAAAATCATCATCAGTCAAATGTTGGACATTACTAGGTTCATCACTCCACTGAGGTTCTGGAGGGGGAGGGGGAGGTCCTTCTCTTGGATCTTCCATGAACTTGATGAAATCCTTTGAGGTTCGGCCTCCAGTGTATTTAAAGTCTTTCTTTCCATAGTTAAAATATCTGAATGTTGGATACCTGAAGGACATTTTCACCATTTGATAAAACATTTTCATAATCATAAGTAACTAACACGCAGCTCAAGAAATGTGGAATTTTAGCTTCTGTCAATCAAAAATATTTTTACAGGCACTAAGTGTCTGGGTTGACTATACCATTTGAACTAACAGTACATGTGATCACCCTTAAGGACCTTCGTGGGCATCCTTCCTGTA